TCCAAATAGATAAGACCAGGAAAAAAAACCTCCTCCCCATCATATTATAGATAAAATGCCAAGAGTAGAAAAAATACTGAAAACTGTAAGGAAGAAGCATGAAGTTACCTCAAGTATAATTGTAGAAGATACTTGAAGGAGTACCACACATACAAGAGGAAGAAAGATATACACAATCACAAGAACCCAGGGCAGAATAAATATCACCAGAAGACTAGAAATGCAAATGAGAAGTAGAAAAAGGTCGAAAACAGTATTAACTCAGTAAAACCACGCAAATCTCTAAGATGAAGAGGGAAAGAAGTTTAGTGGCAATGCCTCACAATAACAACCCAACTTGTAGATGGTCTTAACTGTCCACTAAAAGATGCAGACTGATTTAAGAATTGAAAACCAATGTTCAAGTGTTTTCTTGCCTACAAGAGAACTGACCTTACGACACAGACCAACTAAATGTGAAAGAAGAAAAATGATATTCCAGGCAAACAAAATCTGAAACAAGTAGTATGTAGCCCTAGTACTGAGACCTGATAAAGCAAACTGCAAGCAAAACTTAGTCAGAAGAGATAAAAAAAACATTACTATTACTACATATTAATAAAGGGACCAATTCATCAAGAAGCATTAACATTGCCAAAGTATATGCAATGGACAGCTGGTAACTCAGATGTCATAAAGTGTAGTGGACAGATAGCGTCCAGAAAACAAATTGTTGAAGTGGGTGATTTCATAACATCACTCTCAATAATAAGATAGATCATCCAACAAAAAAAACCAAGAGAACATTCAGTATTGCAACTGCACCATAAATCAAATGGATTTAGCAGACATCTACAGAATATTACAACACCGCAGAATACTTGATGTTTTTCAGAGGCCTGTGGAAAATATTCCAGTTTGTAGATTACCATTTTTAGTCGTAAAGAACATCTTAACAAATACAAAATTGCAGTAATTTCTGCGAACTTACCCAAAATCAATTATAGAATAAAAACTAGGAAATCAATGCAAGTGAATCACATGAAACTATTACAAAACACATGAAGATTTGAATAATATACTGTGAATGATCCAGTAGGCCATTGAAGAAATCCAGAGGAAACTTAAAAATGCTAGGAAGCAATATGAAGATGAAAAACCAGAAACTTGCAAAGAGCCTATGGGATACAGCAAAGGAAGTTGAGAGTAAAATTAGCTAAAAGTGCCTAGGATAAAAAAATCAGAGATGATCGCAAGTAAATAATGTTGTAAACACTTGTCTACATTGGGAGACCCTTGGAACCAAAGCTCCCATACTCAAAAATAAAAATGTCAATGAAACAAGAGTCAGAAAATTTGGTTCTTAAAAAAATATACAAGATTGACAAAGCACTTAGTCAAACTAGCAAAATTAAGGAAACATCTAAATTAAACAATTAGCAGAGAAAAAAAAGAGAATTAAAATAGATATAGCCAAAATTGTGAGGAACTTTAGTGAGTGTATTTTGAAAAATTTCACATGCCACAATATGAATGTTCCAGAACTAACTCAGAGATATAATAGTAGAACTATAATGAGCATTGAGATTTAAAGCATTAATAGTTTTCTAACCAAGAAAAGCCCAGGGACTAGAGTATTAGCTGTTAATTATGCCCAAACTTTAAAGAAGAGCTAATGACAATTGCTCCTTGATTAGTCCATAAACAGAAAGAGAAGTGCTAAAAAACTCTTCTATGAAATCGGTATTACTCTTTAGATAAATCAAGAAAACTGATGTAAGATGCACAACACAGCAGAATAAGAAAAAATGTGGACCAATTTCCATTGAACCTAGATGTAAAAACTCCTACTAAAATACTTCAAACCAAATCACAGCACATCAAAAAGTTCATACACCTAATCTTCTTTTTTTTTTTTTTATTATTCATATGTGCATACAAGGCTTGGGTATTTCTCCCCCCTGCCCCCACCCCCTCCTTAACCCACCCCGCCCCTCCTCTCCTCCCCCCCCTCAATACCCAGCAGAAACTATTTTGCCCTTATCTCTAATTTTGTTGTAGAGAGAGTATAAGCCATAATAGGAAGGAACAAGGGTTTTTGCTGGTTGAGATAAGGATAGCTATACAGGGAGTTGACTCACATTAATTTCCTGTGCGTGTGTGTTACCTTCTAGGTTAATTCTTTTTGATCTAACCTTTTCTCTAGTTCCTGGTCCCCTTTTCCTATTGGCCTCAGTTGCTTTAAGGTATCTGCTTTAGTTTCTCTGCGTTAAGGGCAACAAATGCTAGCTAATTTTTTAGGTGTCTTACCTATCCTCACCCCTCCCTTGTGTGCTCTCGCTTTTATCATGTGCTCAAAGTCCAATCCCCTTGTTGTGTTTGCCCTTGATCTAATGTCCACATATGAGGGAGAACATACGATTTTTGGTCTTTTGGGCCAGGCTAACCTCACTCAGAATGATGTTCTCCAATTCCATCCATTTACCAGCGAATGATAACATTTCGTTCTTCTTCATGGCTGCATAAAATTCCATTGTGTATAGATACCACATTTTCTTAATCCATTCGTCAGTGGTGGGGCATCTTGGCTGTTTCCATAACTTGGCTATTGTGAATAGTGCCACAATAAACATGGGTGTGCAGGTGCCTCTGGAGTAACCTGTGTCACAGTCTTTTGGGTATATCCCCAAGAGTGGTATTGCTGGATCAAATGGTAGATCAATGTTAGCTTTTTAAGTAGCCTCCAAATTTTTTTCCAGAGTGGTTGTACTAGTTTACATTCCCACCAACAGTGTAAGAGGGTTCCTTTTTCCCCGCATCCTCGCCAACACCTGTTGTTGGTGGTGTTGCTAATGATGGCTATTCTAACAGGGGTGAGGTGGAATCTTAGTGTGGTTTTAATTTGCATTTCCTTTATTGCTAGAGATGGTGAGCATTTTTTCATGTGTTTTTTGGCCATTTGAATTTCTTCTTTTGAGAAAGTTCTGTTTAGTTCATTTGCCCATTTCTTTATTGGTTCATTAGTTTTGGGAGAATTTAGTTTTCTAAGTTCCCTATATATTCTGGTTATCAGTCTTTTGTCTGATGTGTAGCTGGCAAATATTTTCTCCCACTCTGTGGGTGTTCTCTTCAGTTTAGAGACCATTTCTTTTGATGAACAGAAGATTTTAGTTTTATGAGGTCCCATTTGTCTATGCTCTCTTAGTTGCTGTGCTGCTGGGGTTTCGTTGAGAAAGTTCTTACCCATACCTACTAACTCCAGAGTAGTTCCTACTCTTTAGAGTTTGTGGTCTGATATTAAGATCCTTGATCCATTTTGAGTTAATATTGGTATAGGGTGATATACATGGATCTAGTTTCAGTTTTTTGCAGACTGCTAACCAGTTTTCCCAGCAGTTTTTGTTGAAGAGGCTGCTATTTCTCCATCGTATATTTTTAGCTCCTTTGTCAAAGACAAGTTGGTTATAGTTGTGTGGCTTCATATCTGGGTCCTCTATTCTGTTCCACTGGTCTTCATGTCTGTTTTTGTGCCAGTACCATGCTGTTTTTATTGTTATTGCTTTGTAATATAGTTTGAAGTCAGGTATTGTGATACCTCCTGCATTGTTCTTTTGACTGAGTATTGCCTTGGCTATTCGTGGCCTCTTGTGTTTCCATATAAATTTCACGGTAGATTTTTCAATCTCTTTAATGAATGTCATTGGAATTTTGATGGGAATTGCATTAAACATGTAGATTACTTTTGGGAGTATAGACATTTTTACTATGTTGATTCTACCAATCCATGAGCATGGGAGATCTCTCCACTTTCTATAGTCTTCCTCAATCTCTTTCTTCAGAAGTGTATAGTTTTCCTTGTAGAGGTCTTTCACATCTTTTGTTAGGTTTACACCTAGGTATTTGATTTTTTTTGAGGCTATTGTAAATGGAATTGTTTTCATACATTTTTTTCTCAGTTTGCTCATTATTAGTGTATAGAAATGCTAATGATTTTTCTATGTTGATTTTATATCCTGCTACCTTGCTATAGCTATTGATGATGTCTAGAAGCTTCTGAGTAGAGTTTTTTGGGTCTTTAAGGTATAGGATCATGTCATCTGCAAATAGGGATATTTTGACAGTTTCTTTACCTATTTGTATTCCTTTTATTCCTTCTTCTTGCCTAATTGCTCTGGCTAGGAATTCCAGTACTATGTTGAATAGGAGTGGAGTAGTGGGCATCCTTGTCTGGTTCCTGATTTTAGAGGGAATGGTTTCTTTTTCTCCATTAAGTATAATGCTGGCTGTAGGTTTGTCATATAGCTTTTATAATGTTGAGGTACTTTCCTTCTATTCCTAGTTTTTCTTAGAGATTTTATCATGAAATGGATACACACTAATCTTAATCACATCCTGTCACTCTCCCGTGAGTACTTAACAGAAATCCCCTAACCACAGTCATTATTAGAAAGGCATGTTGTTAGAATGACAATTTTTGAGTAGAAATAAGAGATTTTTTTTCTGATGCTAATGTTGTGTAAATAAGGAAAGATGAACCTAAGATTTCTGCAGAGCTGGGAGTAGAAAACAGACTGCCACATTTACACGCAATGTTCCCACTTACTAAAACATTGGTCTTGCGTTTGTAGCTGCTTTCATACTTTGTGGATTTATTACTATTAATCTCTTCTGTGGTTATTTTTTGCTTCATCTATTTATGCCTTATTTTCCCAATAAGTCTGAAAATTTGTGAGCCCAAAGATACAAAATGTGAAGTTTTGTATCCTTTGGTATCTCAAACAAAATTTGCATTTGGGCATTGTTGTTAGCAAATGTTTCATTGATTGACAACCTCAAAAATCTACACAAGGAACATGCAATACATCCTGATACCAACTACAAATGAAATTATCATAACAGTTTCTTGCAACTGTGACCCTTTTTCTGTGGAGTGATTAATAAGTATCTATATTTTTATTCTTGATGATTTATGAACCTTCCATCTGTGCTCCACTGTAACCCCTTCTTTGTTTTTTTTTTACCTGCTGTAGTAGGTCCAGGCAAAGGTGCAGCTTTTCTTCTTCTTTTGATGTCTCCTGTACATAAGGATCCTAAATGCATGCTTGTTTGCCTACAAGTAATTATCAGAAAAAACTATTAACAAAGGAGGAAAAAATGACTCATAAATACACAGCTTGTATAATCTGAACTTAAATCAAAACATTCTCAACAAAGATGGAGCTGCATAGTAAAACCACCAATCTTGTTTATATCGAAACATAATTACGTTTGTTGACAAGCGTTCAGCAGCTAAATGCGCCATCATAAATTGTTACTGGAATGAATAATATAAAAGGAATGCTTTTTAATTTTCAGAACTGGCAATCTTTCTGGCTCAACATAAAATCAAACACTGTTGTTTCTGACAGGAAAATAGCTAAGATAATTATCTAAAGAGATCACAATTGTTGCTGGGTTTCAATTGGTTACTAATGCTTTACTGTCAGAACAACATTCATTACAGGAAAAGTATGATCAATTTCTCTTAAGATATTATGCAGCAGCAAATTTTCTTAAAACATTTTAAGTAAGAAGGAAATAATGAGTTCTTGTTATAATTCATACAATTAGAATTGTTTAATTATTTATTAGTGAGGTAAGAAAACATAATTTGAAAGAATTAAAATGCCAGTCTACTGCTACTAACATAATATCAGATTATATATGTACAGACATGATATATAAGAACTGAAAAGTGGGCCTCTGCTATTATTAGAACCCGTTACAATTAGATTATTCTGTTTACTCTTGGTCTCCTAAGTTAAAGAGTTTTCAAAGAATAAGAAATGGCCGAATTGGAAATCAAAAAGGCTAATGCAAAAACAGAAAGTATTTAAGTTTTCAAACTTTTCAACCTGCAGAAGGATTCTCTGCTCAATTGCTGGATCATAATCCCTGATGTGGGATTGGGAAAGGGCCTGAGGATCATGAAGCAGAAATAAATGAACCATATTTATTCTAGCACGAGCTCTTTTGGTAACGCATAGAGATATCTAGTAGAATCATGAGGTTTAAAAGGATCCAATTTGAAAACAACCAGATTATTAGAGGAAAATAATGAAAAAAAATAGTTAAAGACAAAGATATATACACTATGTACATACACTAAGATGTTTATATATAATGAAAATTATTGCTGGGGAGTTATTTCAAATATAGGTTCTACCTCTATAAGCACAAAGCCAAGATGAGTAATTAAAATAATTCAAGTCTCACAAGTTAAGACAAATGAACCATGGAAATCTAGTAATGTAGCTTAACAGTAAATAGGTATTTGTCTAGTTTTCTCTTCCCTTTGTATTGAGTCTATATTGTTTCTCTGTCATAGAATATATATATCTATATTTTTAAAAATTCATTCTGAAAGTAATACCATTCTGATTTGCTGTCAAAATGTTAATTAACATGGATTATGAAGTGACATATGGGCTAATGATACCAGGAAAACTGAATGATTATGACCAACTACGTTTATTCTTTTTACTGGTAGTGAAAATAGGGAGAGTAGGAAAGAGGAGATGGAAGATATGAAGGAAAGGGAAGAACATTCAATTCCTATTATTGGAAGAATTAAAAGTCTGAATAGGGAGATAATCATAAATATGTAAAATAGTGGATAGTGGTGGTATGGACAACCAACTTCATTAAATACTATTAGAGACTGCATTACTTAGTTCATATTAACAATTCCAAGTGTGCTAATGTAAAATACATATCCATACATATTATACACTTATCTATCTATTCATTTATCTATCTATCTATTTTCCCCCTCTGTAGGGAAAATTTTGTTTTTCAATGGAAAAACTATGCTTTTGGAATATATCCTTCAAGTCAACTAATTCTAATTTTTTGGGAGCTGTGTTACAACTCTCATGTTTTAGATAACTGAATCAAATAAGAAACAGACCCATTTATAGAAACACAAATGAACTGTCTTGTGGAGGGATACCCCTAGTTTTATGCCCATTTTATACTCTTTTCAATTTCCCTTTATATACATTTGTGCTTCTTAGCCCTCCCCCTTTGAACTGGTTATAACATTTGCCTAGTTCCCTCATTAATTAATGAACTAAGTAATATCTTAACCACATCTATTTTATATCTCTATGAGAGTTATGATTTTACCTTTTTGTCAAAAATTATTCTTTCACATATTTTATCCTTCTTGAAATCTCCTCTCAGCAAAAGACTGGAGTAAAGTTTCCCTTCTGGCAGAGCACATACTAGACAGGGTCAGTATCAGGAATACCTGAGAAGGAGGGGAAGGCACCATTCGGAAAACAGGACTACAGTGGGGATCTGAATTGTCAAGTGCGGTCTTTCTGCTACCCAGCTGTAAAAATTACCCATGGACTAGCTCCTTCTGATCCTCAGTAAAACACAGTTATTATTATAGTTTAAGTTATTCCTGAAAGAATTCCTCCATGATTCCTGTTCAGAGAATTCTGAGTAGTTGAGGATGTGTGGAGAGCAGTATTTGGAGAAGGATTGATGATATGAATGGAGGAGACTGGGGCTGTACCATGGGGCCATATGTGCCTTAAATGCCCATGAAGGCATTTGGACTTTACAGAAGAAGTGAAGCTATTAAAGATTTATAGGAGAGAAAGTTGAGCAGATACACGGATGCTGGTAAGGATCTTCGGGTGGGCAGGGTTGAGACAGAAGACATAGGAGGTCAAGTAGTTTGGCAATAATCCAGGAACACATTTCCACCCAGGATATTCATCACCTATTCTAACAACTACAGAATAATGCAAAGCTGCTGCACAATGAAATTGCTTTGTGCTAGTATGTCAAGTGAGGAGGTGCACAGAGGTGGGAAGGCAGCCATTAAACAGGTATAATTCTGGATGATTGTAAAGACTTAAGCCAGGTTTTATATTTTTCTATACATTTAAGGCTCAAACTAAGCTAAAAAATTATCAGTCCTAAGAAACCCAATTCTTAGAAATAATCAGAAGAAACACTTGAGTATCTGATACATAGTAAGTGCTTTCTGTGACTACTTACGTTGCTCTTGGGCTAGGTTATGTAATTGGAGCATTTGAATTGCCTACAAATCACTCTCCTAAGTCAACACTGCCTTTGAAACTTAATTTTTTTGCATTAATTAAAATTATTAGGAAGGCCTCTTTATAAAGATAGTGAAAAATAAACTTCAGGAATAACACTCTCTTCTAAACCTTTTTATCAATTGCTGGAGCAAAAATTCTCTTTCAGGTATTTTAACAGAACAAATAGAATATTACATTTTATTCAACTCTTCTTCCCACCCTGTACAACAACAAAAAGGAAAAGAGATAAATGTGTAAGGAGAATAAAATTAAAGTTAATAAATTTAGTAACATGGAACCTGAAGATCTGAGCTATACGAAAAAATAGCCAGCTGTACTTCAGTAAGTCAATCAAAAACTATCTGCTATCCGCTATAGCACATGGAGAGAGCCAGATAGCTGGATCAGTAAGATTACTCAACTTAGGCTTGCCCTTTTCTCTTCTTCCTTTCAGACAGGTATAATGGAGTTGCAACAAATAATAGCAAGGTGTACTCTGTTATTTAGTTGTCATTCCTTATGCAAAACATAGCAGTTATGTTTTTAATTTAAAGTCAATGAATGTATCAATGGCATTCTTGTTTCTTCAGTCTAATGAGTCATTTGTTTTTGCAAAGCAGAACACTTAGATTACTACTCAAAGTGATAGGTGAAAGTTTTCCTTCCTTCTTCCCTTCCTCCCTTCTTCTTTCTGTCTCTCTCCCTCCCTCCCTTCCTTTTTTGGCTGTGGGATTTTGAAGAATGACAATACAATATTTTATGAAGAGCTCCAAAGTTATTTAAGATCTGTAAGGCACTGTAAGAAAATTACCAATCAGCTTGATCAGTATATTTGTTTTAGATACAGCATTTGTTTGGAGAGGAGAGAAGAGGAGAGGAGAGGAAGGGAGATAAATCACAACCAGCATATCTTTAAGTGGAATCTCAGTTGATTATGATTGGAAACATGGATTCTCATGTGCTCCTTCTAAAAGTTATTCTACTAAGTATTAGTGAAGCAGAACTCAAAAAGAAGTCTTTTTATTTTACTTTGTTTTTTAAATAGACTGCACTTGGCTTCTTTCCATCAATTGCTGCAAGCTATCGATTTATATGGTGTGGTGGCAGGAAGCTGGGCATCTTATCTGGAGGAAAAAAAAGTAATCACAAACACCCAAAACAAAACACAGAAACAAACCCTAGTGAGAACCACCTTGCCTGAAAACTTGGCTTTGACAGGCTGACAGGACAGAACCAGGCAGTGTCAAACACAATAACATTAAAGAGAAGACAGTAGGAACTTGTCGGCTTCACTGTATACATTTACAAAGAGACGCTCTTTAGGAATTAGGCCTAGTTAAAGCTGCCCCCTGGATACAACGTGTCCCCAAGTGGTCTTGGACAAGCAGCTGAAAAGAGACAGGCAGATGTGGCTATGGCCCGGGCATTTGGCAGGAACACTCACTGTCAATTAGAACAGTATCGGCCCAGACAGGGCATCAGCTGCACAGAAATGAGCAGGTCTGTGGTGTCACTGGAGGAACAATCTGGTGGCAGAGAGGACAGGGGCTGGAAGTCCAGCCCTGTGTGAACTTCCTTTTCTAGAGCCAAATCACCCTCCCTTCCCCTTTACTCAGTGTCCGTATGTCTCAAAATATTAACCTGAACGAGCAGACAACAGTATCCAGCTCTTTTCCCTTTGTACCAAATGCACACTAGGTATCATGAACTTTTTTTGACTAGTCCATGGCATTAAATCCTTGTTTTTAACACTGTTTTCTTTTTTTTTTCCTTTTTCTTTTATTATTCATATGTGCATACAAGGCTTGGTTCATTTCTCCCCCCTGCCCCCACCCCCTCCCTTACCACCCACTCCGCCCCTTCCTTCTCCCCCCCACTCAATACCCAGCAGAAACTATTTTGCCCTTATTTCTAATTTTGTTGTAGAGAGAGTATAAGCAATAATAGGAAGGAACAAGGGTTTTTGCTGGTTGAGATAAGGATAGCTATACAGGGCATTGACTCACATTGA